CCCTCTTTCATTTTTGTTTATCTATTCCACCAGGGGAATCCAGTTTAACACTATCCTGGTGGACTACGTTCAAGCGCAAGTTCCCCACGCTCGGTCCGCTGTTCACCCGGACGTTGCGCTTGACGTCACTCGCCATCGGAGTGGGTGTGTATCAATTCAACACGAATGATATCGGTGCGTGTTTGTAAACATAGTGCATGCACAGAACAGACCAAACCTTTTGGTTCTCGACCTATGGCTTGGTGGAACTCATCCGCCGTGCGTAGGCTTGAACGAGCGGGAACTTCTCTCCCCTTCCGCGTGTACTAGAACCAACGAATCATTCAAATAAAGCACATAAAACTCCTGTTTGGTGTTCAAAGCAACATACATAATGTACAAGTGCATTAACTGGGGTGCGTATGGTACGGGCAAATAACTGAATGCCATCATATTTGATACAATGGATGCCTTCACCTTCCTCTGTTTCTTTCTAGCTCCCGCCGCCCCCTCCTCAGGGAAATGTCTTCATGCATTTCACATGCAGTCATAAGTCGTTAGTTTTCTGTGCTTGGAGAATTACATGTGTCTTGATGCTCGGTACGTCAACCCGTCATTGCGTCAATAATCTAGTCGGGATGCAAGATGCTGCTACGCAATGCCGGCCCCTAATGGCAGCATCCGTGCTAAGAGCATTTCGTCAGGACGATATCAGGGAGAAGGGAGGGGGCCACCTACACAGATGCGCGAGCACTCGATCTAGTAACTTTGGCGCTGACAAGATCGTCACCGTCCCGGCGAGGGCCTCAAGAAGCAATGCGAAGAGAGACATGATAGATGAAGGTGATATGTCGTCTTGGTCAATAGCGGCAGGTTGGAGTACAGGAGTGCGGAGGAGGAATGGGGATGAAGGGGAGGGGCGGCCACTATGTGCAAATGTCGTTCCGTGAGGGTAGATATAAGATTTGGTTACTGTACAGTAAGCCCTCGACCCAACAGCACAATAGATCGGATGCGTCGGTGTGGGCGGTTCGCCCAAGAACCTGCTGACTCGATTCGATTCCAGAGTTACGGCTTTCGACCACATGCATGCATGGAAGAAGCGCCGAACTCCACATTTTCGTTTTTCGGATGGCGAGAACGCTTACAAGGACAGAGGCCTGGGCTGTGTGTCCCGCCGGCATTGCGGCGATCTGCGATCTGCAATCAGGTATGGGGGGCATGATCAGGTGCGGTTTCCGGTTTGGCTGACTGAAGAGCTCTATGAACCGAAACCCTGAAAAGGGGGCTAGCATGTCCCGGTTCCGAACATTTCCGAACCTCGGTACCGATACCGGACCTGGTCCCGGTCCTCGTTTTCGGGTCTCGGGGGGCCCGCAGCATTCGCTGCGGCCATGCGGCGCAGTCAGAACGGACCCTTCGTTTTGGCGAGCGCACCGTACCATTGACTCGGACGCACAGTACGGACTAGAGAAGACTGTGTCAGAGTTGCTGGAAAGAAAATGGCAAGCGCGGCCAAGTCGAAAAGCGAAAATTTGTTATTTCGATTTGTTCCTTTCCTTTCCCGTAGATTGCGCCATTTACACGAGGCGCGAGGCGGTGCACCTCGGGCGATCGATAACGATGCCGCATGCACCTTTCCTTGCGTAACGACTACACGAAATTTTCTTGGCATTACTGTGCGAAGTAGTTCCCGCAGTGGGCTGGCTGACATCATGGCCCGATAATGCGTTACAGTATATTGCTTGAATGCCCTCAGTTGCGGTGACCCGACGCATTGATGGAACTATGAGCGCTAGATAGCCGCGTGCTAGCCCTCCTGTATCCGGTGGGAAGAAGTGCCGAAGAAATTCAACTCGTGTGTGGGCACGGGCAAGCCGATGCTTGGTTGGGGGTCTTCTGAAACGAAAAAAAAAACACCCCAAATTTAGGGCCAGCGTCCGCATTTACTACAGTAATATGTGGCACACACTGGCGGCGCCTCAGTGTAAAGCGTGGTTGCCTCCCTCCTATCACATCCCCTGGCCGCTCGCTCGGACTCGAAGGCCTGAAGTTCAGACGTTCAGATGCTCAGGAATGACACTAAATGTCACGTTGTTTCTAGCAAACGTCTTGGCTGATACTGTAATATCTTGGCCAACACGAGTTACCAAGCGCAAGGAGGCCATCCGAAACGAATTCTAGGGGTGGTGTCCGCCGCCGCCGCACCGTGATACAGCGGCACACTTCAGTGGCACCGGGGAAATTTGAGCGTAAAGCAGCATGGTTTCCCACTCAAGTTCTCCCACTGTATCATTCCCTGGTCTTCTCACTCATCGAACTGTTTCCTGTGTCGCCTACGTTGCCGAGTTAACCGCACCTCAAATATCGGAGCAGCTTCGTTACGTTGATTCTACAGCACACCCCCACCGAATCACCCTCTCAAAAGGGTCACGGTCCTCCCAGTTCTTCGGATACCCAGCTTCCCCCCTCCATCATTGCGGCGACAATGCGGTGGGAAGGCTCGTCGGGCCGACACCCACTTCAAGTTCCCTGGAATCCTGGATTCTCAACAACCTTACCGACGTCTTCTACATCAATATGGCGCAATGCTTCCATGCGTGTTTCCAGAGCCGTTTCTTTTTTCCGTTGCGGGACACCAAGCCGCCGGCATCGTACCCAAGAGGTCCAAAACTACTTTTACATCCCCTGGGAAGATGTGCGTAGCCTTCTCACCTTCGTGGCCAGACCCTGATTCTTGTGGCTTCTTTACCCTGACTACAGTAGGCTGACTAGGCTCGCTTGTGCACCAGATACCGAGACCAAGTCATTGAGAACCACGCTGATACCCTTACCCGCCGCTGTACGCGTTAGCGAACGGGTTCGAGCTTCCTGGGTCGCTGTACCTCCGGGCGTGCCTTCCTAATCGGGACGCGTTCAGCCACACGGGGCTAGCGACGCGCGCGGGGGACGAGAACCGAACCTTTGGAGCTCGCATGGGAGCTCCGGGTGGAAGCCAACGGTATGGCTTCGGACTGGGCGTGAGGGGGAGACGAAAGGAAAGAAAAACGAACGGAAATGAGAGGGAAACGTGAGCGAGAACGGGGGAATCTGGAGGGACACGGCCCTCGTCGTATTCTGCCGGGAACTGTCCGGGAAACTAGCTTAGCTTCACTACTAAAACTATCTACATACAACCTATATACTATTCCCTTGGTCTGTGCGTTCTACGGGTCCTAACCCTCTTTTGGGGTACTCCGCGTCGGCCGAAGGCGTCCGCGTTGTCCGATCCTCTCGCGCGCGCTCTAACGCGCTCGCTCCTGGTTCCTAGGCTTTGGCACCGGTCCAGGGGTCGCGATGTCGACGTGGCCACGCTATACCTCTTCTTGGGCGTGCTTTGTGAGGTGCCCGAGGTGTCCGAGCGTGCCGAGTGGGTCAGGGTAAGCCTAAGCCTCTTGAGGGCTTATTGCGGGGTACGCGCGACGGTAGCGTTCTTGATTGGCTGGGGCTGGGTCGTACTACTCTTGCTCCATCTTCTTGCCGAGTTTGGTGGGAAGTTGTGCTGGCGGAGGAGGCGCGCGCGGTCGTAGGGGAAGGGATGGTAGGGTTGCCAGCGAGGCTTGCGCGTGTTGCCGCGCCACCGGCCTCCCGGGCCGCTGCTCCGCCGCGTGCTCTGCGTCTAAGTCAGTGGGGTGCGCACTTTCACGCGTGCTGCCGCGCCTGCGGCGCATCAACGCGTCACCAACAACATTCCCGTATGCCCGAGGAACTCATGATCCATTTGGTCGAACTCACTCGAACAGCCCCAGCTGCTTGTCTTTGAAATGCTGTTTGGGGCTTCGAGCTCATTGACCCGTAAGGTTCGAACGCACTTCAGTCAGGTGGTTCGTTATCACTCCCCACCCCACCGACCGGCCGCAGTTTCGTTTGTGTGCCGAACGGCAGCGTCGCTTTTAAGATTCCGGAGGACGACGAGGATCAGTTGAACCAATGATCAGTCGCGGTGCTCGCCATGTTGTTTTCGATGTATGTACTGCAAGTTACTACCAATCTTGATAAATGCGACGGCATAGTCATCCCATTTCTGTGAAGCGGGGAAACAACATACGGCTGGCAACAAACTTGAACGTGGCTACTTTACACACGTTACGGTAGACATCGGAAGTATCAAGTGCTGTCATGGACCGAGGGACATGTACATACATAGAAGCCAGTTCTCGCACTGCATCCTTCCGACGTCGGAACGTTTCAACTTGCACTCAAGAGGCACCTCAGTTAAAATCTATGGATCACATTGCGCGCGCTACATGTATTGTGAATACAACCGTATACTAAAACACGACCGCCATGACAACTACACATGTGTAGACTAAGAACAGCTTGAACCCTTCCGTCACCAAGTACACCCCCAATATACAATTGCAAGCCCGAAAAAAAGGAAACCCCCAGTCAAATCATCTGCCACCTGTGGAAGTCGCCAAATGGCAAACAACACACTACGATGGAATGGCAGAGGAGAGGCAAAAGGGGGATCCCCCGACAACACAAGCCAGTAGTGCAGCGGCAAGGTCATCACGTCCCAGGGTTGCAAGCAGAGCCCCAGAGAGCAAGGGCGGCAAAAATAAGATAACCAGAAATGAGGGCGGTGCCCCCATAATAGTGGTTAAACTATTAAGAACAGATACTACACTTGATCTAAGCCAAAAGGCCAGAGTGGTGAGGAAAACGGAGAGGATGGCGCGAGGCTTATATAGGCAGGAGCTGGGTGCGCACGGACCATCGAAAATTTCCAAGGGGCAACCGAGTTACGCGGCGCGGCAGCGCTGGGGAGCGCACACGAGGTCGTTTTTTCGCCCTGTAGGCGGGTATTATCCCTTCCGACACCCCCCATCATTCGAACAACGTCGAGTCACCAAAACGACCACACGGTGATCAAAATCAAAGCGCTCGGATCCAGGAGGCACGGAGGTAAGACTCACGGTGAGCAGGACTCATTCGCGATTTGTCGAGCTGTAACTCACAATGTCGTAAAGTTTGGCCAGGCCTGCTTAGCTCAGTGGTAGAGCGCGTCACTTGTACCTCATGGGGCTCGACCACATGAAATGCATGACGAGGTCAGTCGTTCAAACCGGCTAGTTGGCATTTTTTTTGTTTTCTGCATCGGCTCTATCAGTGCCGATTGCTGTACATTTTCCCCTACAGCTAGACTCAAACACCGCGCTACTCCGCGCGGCGGGGTGTGATAATTGTTGGCCATGTCCAAATGATTGTGTCCGCGAATATCGACTTTTACACCAGTTCTTGCACTTCCCGTCAACCCAAACGCCTGTGCCCTTTCATCTACTGTATATTACAATTGCCTTGTGATTGAGATTGTCCTAATATGTTACAGTTTGTGCGCCCACCGGGTTCACGACACAAACTCGTGTTTCTTTTAGCCATGCCAATGCCACCATCATTAAGCCTGTGGTGGCACACCATTTTTTTCTTCCTCTGGTTCCCCAATCGGAGCGGAAGTGCTAGTATTGCCCTTCTCCAAAAAGTTCAAACACCCTCTCCCACACCCGCGCCACAAGATCGGCACTCCACCCGTCGTCTCACCAACACGTACGCCCGCGAGCTCAGTAACCCACGTATACCGCTCCTCAGCAGGCATGACGAATGGTGGGCCAAGCCTCGGCCATGGCCATGGCTGAGCCACTGCTACTGGCGGTGTACCATAGTGGTGACGCGGGGACGGACAGCGACCAGAGCAGCTCCTCTGCTCGTCCCCTTGTGTCGCCGCGGCGAGGCCACGATGGGTCAGGCATTCCCGTTCCGGTTGAGAGGAAGAAGAGGTGGAGAATAGGCCCGCGCTCGGTCCCGATGTCGTGGCACGCGAAAAGGCATGACGCCTTGGAGCGGACACTGCGGCGGGTGCGAGGCGCGCGAGGAGGGCTGCGTCGGCAGGGGTGAGCGCACCTTCCTGTAGCGGGAGTTGGAAGCGGTCTTCGAGCGTCGTAGGTTGTCGGGCATGAGCAGTCGTCATAATAATTGTAGGTGAAGTCGGCGGGGATAGTGCTAGTTGGCGCTGTTGATTCGCCGAGGGAGTGAGGAGGTACCGTAGGACCACTTCGCGCAGTGGCGGCACGCGAAAGTGCACACGCGTCGGACCGTCCACGGTTTCGGATGCATTTAGTGGGGCGGTAGTGTTGGCAGGGTCTGGGTACCAGGGATTCGTATGGACATTGAGGTTGGTGAGGGTCATAGTCGTCATCTCTGCGGGGAGTAAACGCAAATTGTTGTTAACCACATCGAGGTCTTTGAGAGCCTGTAACTGAGCAATTTCTGGAGGGAGATAGTCAAGGCTGTTATTTCCTGGGCTCAGGGGTATCAGTACATGCAACGAATTGGAGAAAATAACGCAAGCACGCACGGAGGGAGAGTACTGTCAGGTTACTCAGCTTGAAGAACTCTGGTGGAAGGGTTTTGATTTCGTTGTTCGCCAGGAAGATCATAAATCCCTGGGATCGGGTACGGGAGGGAGAGACGCGTTGGGAGAAGAATGATCTATGGAACGAGGAGAATACTGCCGCCGGAGCGGTCTGTACGCGCTTGAAAGGACGCTGAGCCGACTCGGTTATGACACCAAGACTATTGAGCTCTACCACAGACGGAGGTACAAAGGTAAGCCCTGCGTCTCTTGAGGGCTCTGTAAATGCAATGTTTACCGGGCATGGAAAGAAATGGAACATACTTCCAAGTAAATTCGGCCTCGCCCATGTCCACTGCTCGTGTGATCTTCTCTTCCCACAACGTGGCCTCATCTGGAGGCTCCGGATCAAAACTAGACGTCGAAAAGCCCTCCTCTTCTTCGTCAAAGAGGGATTCGAGCACTTTCGCGTGATCCGCTGAGGACGAGATGTCAGGTCGATACGCCCAGGTGGCTGGGGTATAGGAGGAATTCGAGTAGCGGAGCTCGTTAGAAGGATGTGCTGTCGCGTGCGTAGAGCCAGCAAACGGATGATTTATACCGAGTGGCGTGGCTGGACGGCCGAGGTCGAGGGGCTGTAGGGATGGGGAAGCAAGAGGAGAGGAGTCGACAAAGGAAGATGCAGTCGGAGAGCCACCTGGGGAGGAAGAGGGTGACATATATGCGCGATCCTCTGGACTAATGAAAGCCATTTTTCGTAGCGTATGGTAGTGTGATTGGTAGCGTGATTGTGTGGTGTGGTCAAAGGTGGCGTCGATACCCGCATCACGAGACCGTGTCCGCGTCGACCACGTGCATTCACCCGTTGACCACGGCTCTTCAACACGGCGAATATAAATCTACACGTACAGTACTACTGTACATTCAGCATTCCTGAGATAGCATGTTTACACCTCGTTCCAGTCAGCATGTGGTCTCTACTGGCAGTGGCAGCGGCACATGCGAGAAAAGGAATAGCGCGTACGTCATAGTCTAGGAAGTGCACCACAGAAGTCAATGCCCGAGTGGCCGCCGCTAGCTTGGCCGCGTATGATCGACTAGTGAAAGGTACGCAACAAAGCCATTGGCGAATTTAAATCCAACCATCGCTTAGGTCTTCCTTTCACCACCTTCTCTTCTGTTCCCCAATCCGCTCTCGAAAGTTAGTCACCTTCGAAAGACACGCATTCTCAACACATTTCATTGCTCCCAAGCATCAACAGAAAGCCAAATCCAGTGGCATGAGCTCTACGAAGATATCCAACAAAGAAAAACTGCTCCAGGCGAGGGCCATGAAACGCGCAGAGCGTGTGGAGGCCAGACGCGTTCACGCAGAAGAACACAAGGAAGCCGTATGTCCTCATTACCTCATTCGCTCAGCGACACGAAGAATCTCACGGCTATGTTTTAGGGAAATACCCACTTCCGTGCGGGTGACTATCGCAAAGCCATCGAGGAGTACAATGTCGCTATCAGAATCCATGGTCCTAGTGCCGCGTACTTGTCAAACATGGCCGCAGCATGGTTAAAGCTGAAAGAGTGAGTTTTTATCTGGCGTCGCGCGTCAATCTGTGGTTTATAATGACGTATGATAACTTTAGCTATGGCGAAGCCGAACATTGCGCCCAACGAGCCTTTGATCTCGATCCCCGCTTCACGAAGGCGCGCTATCGTCGTGGCCTTGCGCGGAAGGGGAACCTGGAGCTTGCCCGGGCTGCCGTCGGTACGTCACTTCCGCACTCGCCCTGCCTGCCGTAAAGTGTGGGCATGGAGGTCCAGACGGGAGAGGCTGACGATAGCATATAAAACGCAGACTTTCAAACGGTCCTGACACAAGATCCCGACTCGACCGAGGCGAAAGACGCGCTTCGAGAGACTTGCGCCCTCATGATTGAGCGCAGTGACGAGGAGCACAACTTTGACTCGGATGATGAGTTCCCGGGGCTGGATGACATCAAGGTCGAGCTCGAGTCGGTGTCGGACTCGAGCGATTGGAACCATGAGGGGAACCGTATTCCGTGCAGGTTCTACAATCGTGATGGTTGTTTGCGTGGCGCCGACTGTAGGTTCTCCCATGCCCCGGACCACAACAGTGTGCGCGATCGCTTGTACGTCTTTTGAGGAAATTTTGGGCTCCCCACTGCCTGCCCGCCCGACTGGCTTGGGACATTGTTCAGGGGGCGCAACGTTTGCATTGACTTCCTACTCGGGAAGTGCCTATTCGGTAACAGCGCGTGCGTATACTCTCACGACAAGACGTACTTGCCGCCTGGCCGCTGGTGGGGAGAAGAGGGCAAATGCCACCTTCTCCGTGCCGTCTCGGATTCGTTGAGTCCTGGCGCAAGTTCGGCGTACATGTCATACACGTCCAGCATCCTGGATGATCGTCTTGCATGGGCCTCCGCACACGGAGTTGAGATGGAAGAGCTTTATGGACACAACAGGGCTCTGGCAAGGCTAGGATTTGAGGTCGCTGTCAAGGCTGGGATGGAGTTGATTAAACGCAAAATTGGGAACCAGGCGTCATCCAGGGGTGGGGGTCGTGGTCGCGGTCAGGGCAAGGGAGAAGGAGGAAGACGTGGACGTCGGCTTGACCTTGAACTTGACCAATACGATGAGATGGACTCGGAGGCCGATGAGAGGATGGCCAACTTTGGATTCACTGAAGACGAAGTGATGGAACTGGCCTGCCAAGGCGTCAAACCTTGGGACGATGACGCTCGGGTGAGTGTTCTGGTTTCAGTGTCACTGCATCAATCCGATTCACACATGATTCCCGGATCAGGATGTTCTCGACGCACTCAACTCGCTTTAAAAGAAATCTGCAACAGGACGTGTCGTTAATACAAGTTTTTTATGACCTTACGATAAGATAAGATACAGTAGATTGGGTGATGAGAGATTTTGTCTTACATAAGAGTGAGCCAAACAAAGAGACAAATATGAAGGGCCGCTTTGCCGCGTATTTCTTTCCTTCCTTTTCTCCCCAGCCTCAACAAAAGTTCTCCTCGCCGTTCTCTTCTCTTCTCCTCTCTCTCCCAACCCCGCACATTTCTACACCATGCACCACGTCTCTTCCAGCTCTTCTCGCGCACTCCGTCGTGCTTCGGCGAAAGCTGCCCGCGCCATTCTCGCCCGCGGTGCCCACAAGGAAATTCGGTTTTCCAACGAGGGCCGCGCGAGCATACTCAAAGGCGTCGACGTGCTTGCAAACGCTGTCAGTGTTACGCTTGGACCAAAAGGTCTGTTTTCATTTCCTCAGTTTGTAGTTGTTCTCCCTGGGTTGCTGACGTGTCGCGTCTAGGTCGGAACGTTATCATCGAGCAGTCGTTCGGTGGTCCCAAAATCACCAAGGGTTAGCCTTTTCCTCGTTTTACCTTGAATATCATATCCCTGTGTTCCCCTTTCTGTTTACCTTTGAAGACGCCTTTGCACTTAACAGGGCCGCTTTTATTTTACTCTGAATCTTTCTGTCCGAATTTTTATTGTCTTGTATACTCATTCTTGGGCTCCTCTTCAGATGGTGTTACGGTTGCCAAGGCCATCACTTTGAAGGACAAGTTTGAGAATCTTGGCGCGCGGTAGGTGTTTTTGTTTTACCGCAGTACGTGTATGTAATCGTAATTTGCTCTCTAGACTTATTCAGGACGTCGCACAAAAAACGAATGAGATTGCTGGTGATGGCACGACC